CCGACGACATCAAAATATTCTTCCCATTTCGTCCGTCAAACTTCCACACCGCCATTCCCAATATACAATACGACTTAAGAGCGCTAGCTGCATGGTGCGACATATGGAAGTTGGCTTTTACGCCATCAAAATGCAATGTCCTTACGTACCGATGCACCATGCCTCCAAATACCTTAATGCTGCGAGGCACGCCATTAGGGAACTGCCTAACAGTGCGTGACTTAGGCGTGCACTACTCCTGTTCCCTGAACTTCGCGGAACAAGTAATTTATTCCGCAGCTAAAGCACGCTCTCTCATCGGATGCATCCTCAAAATTATGACAATACAGGAATCTAGCACTGCGCTCTACAAAATGTGTCCGGCCTCTGCTGGAATACTGCTCTATAGTATCCACTAACCTCAGAAAATGCGACCGAATAGCCCTCGAAAATGTTCAGCGTACCTCCACAAAACGCCTCCTGGGGCACTCAAGTCTAAGCTACCGTGATCGGTGTAACCTACTTAAGCTCGACCCGTTATGGCTGCGCCGACTGAAAACTAACTTCGCTCTCCTATACTCGCTCATTAACAATATCAGTGGGAGCCAACTAACCCCTCTCAGACTAATATATCACTTCGTACCCCCTACGTGATAGACCCCACTCCATCATCCTACCAAGAAAGCGCAGCAGTATTAACTACAACTTCTACAGATACGCACCCGTTTGGAATAGTTTACCTCTCACAATAAGGGCAACCATGAATATAAACTAGTTCCGCTTCTCTATTAGCAAATACTTCTCTGTCACACAAGTTTCCAAACTACTCAAAATCAAAATCAGGACCATCATCAACATAATACACGCTAGCTAGTGGGGAACACCTCATCTACTGTGCCGCAATACAAAGAAAAAAGGAGAGAAAAATAAAACAACTGGTGAAAGTTGACTGAGCTACCGGCAACGGATGGGCATCGTTCCGGTAAGCTATCATCCGGCTGCTGTGCACCCAAAAAAAATTATTATGCAAAATTATATAAGGCCAAGTAATGAGATCGTGGTTGAAACTCGACCAGACCACTTATAATTGCCTCTTCTTACCTTCCCAAGCTATCCCCTTCCCGACCCCTAATATTTCTACCAGCCCGCTTCCTCCAACAGCCCCTCAAGTCTTCCATCACCTAGGCGTCAGCCACTGGATACCGAATGCCTATGCATTCCGTCAAACCGCCCACTTCTTTTGACACTGTACCTATCCACTAAACACTAGAAGGCATAATGCGAATTCAGTTGCTGTCCACTTGTACTCTCTCTCCTCACCATTATCCTTCGCTCCTGATTTCGGCATCACGTTTTCTATAGTGATTCGTTGTAGACTCCTTACACCTTTATGCATATCCGGACCTACTAGGAGATAATCCTTGTTCCTTCATCCTGTAAGCTTTTGGAATGTCTGTATCACTTACCTTCACTGGCTTGCCGATGTATTCTGTGACACTGTAGGAAGCCACTAAAGACCAATCTGCTTATCGCAATGGTTACGTCTGACCACCAAAAGGTTTTCATAGCTCCAGAATCTGTCGATCTTATTAACCTCAGCATATCTATACAGTACCAACTAGTGGTCGTGGGCTGCAAGCATTTCCGGAGCTTGCTCAGAACCACACGCTTTTATCTCCAACCTTCATCCTTTGGGACTGTCTGCGTCACATACATTTGCCGTCTGTTGACTTATTCTGGGACACTTTGTTATCCACTAGCCACTAGTCGGCTTCACCCCAATCACATTGCCAGCCGTCGATACTCTTTCTCCCTTAGTACCATTATCAGTGAATTATACTACCTAAATCACCACTTTTCAGCTGCAGCGAGTCATTGTAGGTAGCATACCTCTGCGCTAGGAGCCACACATTATCTCTCCAACACTTACCCACTTGAATTGTTTGCATCTCACACCTTTCCTGGTTTGTGGACTCTTCTGTCACTATAACTTTCCACTACTAACTAGAAGGCTTAATGGGAATTCAGTTGCTGTTCACTGGCTCTCTCTTTTGGCATCATTGTCCCTCGTTCCACCTATATTCATCACGTTTTCTTCAGTGATCCGTTGTAGGCTCCATACATCTGTGCATATCCAGTGCTACTAGGAGACATCCATTAAATCTTCATCCAGTAATCTCTTAGAACCTCTGTATCAATTACCTTCGTTGGCTTGCTGATGTATTCTGTGACACGGTAGGAATCCACTAGTGACCAAACTGCCTAATGGAACGGTGACCTCTGGCCACCGAAAGTTTTTCATAGCGCCATTATCCGTCGATCCTCTCAACGTCAGCACCTCTATTTAGCAGCAACTAGTGGTCGTAGGTTCCAAGCATTTCTGAGCATATCCAAAGCGTGCTAAGAGCCGTACTCTTTTATCTCCAACCTTCATCCTTTGCGACCGGCTGCGTCACATACATTTGCTGTCTGTTGACTTACACAGAAAATTTTATCTTATGCTCACTTGGACACACAACCAGACGAGTATTCGCGATGTTCCCCTCCTCAACCGGCCTCATCAATCACGGCGGCATCGAGAAAACTACCTGTCCAACTAACAGAGGAAATTAGGAGCTATTTGTCTGCGAATTACCGAACACGAAATCAGTCGTCAAACGGCTTTGCCAGTCATACATTAATGTTCAAAATGCTTTACGGCAGTGTTGCTGGACATGGTGGGTTTTTTGCCGGGCAAGTGTTCTCCCTATAAAAAGCTACAAAGGTCTTCTTAACAATACTGCGACGTGGCGGATGTGACTAGCCACTGAATAAAGTCACTGCCCACAAGTACATACTGGCAAGTCGACCAGGCTCACATCTCAACTCTTCCCGACACATGCAAGAATATGTTACGCTCCGTCTACAAGCACTGTTACATCGCAGTTATAGTGCCTTGACCGTTTCAACTACACACGATTGTACCCGAATTAACGTCGTGTTACACAACTGCCTTTAAACCTTGATCACGCATGATTTGGTGTGTCTCAAGGAATTTGAGAACAAACTATTTATTTATATGACCAATTAGCTACTGTCACTGTTACAGTTACCATAATGTGTCTGTACAGTTGCACATACATGATCATGCCTCCATGGGCGTGCCTCGCATAGTCGAGAATAAATATTTATTTATTTATTCATTTGTAACGGTTGTAAAGAACTCATAAAGCATCTCAATGGAATTCATAACGCGGACACGGCGCACACGTGGAAGTTTAATGCCGATATAAAAGCCTCGGCTGTGCGCGGCCAATGATCTCGTCTTCGTGCTGTCAGACGACTCCAGCAGTTGGGGTCCGGTGAAGCGGGTATACGCCGAAGGCATGCCTAGAAAAAAGCTAACGGTTCTGTCAGTGCCTACATGCCACATGACATAGGTGAGCATACTAGATCCGCTACCACAAATAATATTCATAAACAGAGCCGTCACCCTGTATGACGTACGTGTGACTGAAACACGCGTGCGTTCTCCGGTTCAGAATGGGTCGTCAGAAAACAAGCCACATATCCACTTCGATGTTCACTGTTTGCTAAATCTTGCATGTGCACACGGAGAAATACGCACCAACTAAAACGTGACCATTGAATAATTCACTGGCGGCACGTAAACACTAAGCCTGCATCTCGCCAATTTCGTGCACCCTTCTTCCAGCACAGTTGGCGTCACCCGACTTGTGATGAAGCAAGCGAAGGTACATACCGTCGGCGAAGGATACGTCGTCCAGGATAAAGGACACATCAAAGACGTGCGCCTCCAGTGCTCATATCATTGCACCCAGCGGATTTCTATGACACGGAGGTACTACCATCCATAGGCATGACCACCAGCTGACGAACAAAAGTCTTGTCCGCGGCTGCTGCCTGTTGTGACTGGGAGCAGCATCTGCTCATTTCGCGAGCAGCATGGAAGCGACACAACAGGATATGTGCGCTGGGCTACATAGACCGAAACGCACTTAATTAAGCCGTACATTTGTCCATCACTACCGTGCCAGCAGTCGTTGGAACAATGTCCAACGTGACTGCAACAGGCTGCATATAGATATGTGATGTCTCCTTCGGTAACAGAGCGTAGAAAAAGAAAACCGCACCACCGGTCACATCTACAAGCATGTAATGCCACGAAAAGTATGAACCATAGTTTATCTAATGTCGTGTCTGCCAAAATAACATCGCAATATTGCTGCACAGTGGATCCATGATTGCAGGCGTAAAACCATGTGAAGCTTTTGTTGCTCTTCGATGATCACGCGGCATGTCACATGTCGCTCCAGCAAAGCCCACTTCATTCACCTCCCCAGCGCTTTTCCTCATGTGTTGCCACTTCATGTACAGCTAATCCGATCGCATGACCTGCCGCCCATAATACATCAGCACGTCATACTGCACTTCACAGTTACCCTTGAAAGTAGTCATCAAGTCACACACATGCGACTCTCGCTTGGTGGTGAAAGGTCGGTTCGCTTGATAAAGCCACGGTCGCCAAAAGTGGAACTCGCGATTGTGTGTTAACTTATAATTGCATCACCCGTAGGTCTGCCCACACAGAATTAGGACAAACCACGCTGGAAAGGTGCAAGCACGGAGTATATTAATGACAACAATCAGTAAACAAAAGATAATGTACCGCTTTCCACGGGAGACAATCTGCTTTGAATGCACACGGCGGAATTGAATATCATGGTACGGGAAACATTCAAGAAACTTGGTCCAGTCCCCTTAATCATACCGCGGCGGGGTCGCCAACGAATACTTAAAAAACTGGCTGGCAGTGCGAGTTCAAAATTATGTACCGCATTTTTATTTCCTCCGCGTTGTGATAGCAACCAACCAGAGCCGCTCAACAAATGTGCCTAGTAGCATTAGCTCGGTTTCAAGCAATGTGCAACGTAGGAACGTTGCATGCATATAGCGTTTAACTTTACTTGCCTTCTTTTGAAGTCAACATTTTAGATCAAGCTATTTCGTCCTCATTCACGTGATAAGCTATATTTTTTGAACTTGAACTTGAACTTGTGTACCCAAACGCAACGCCCCATTTAGGCTATTTTCACCTTCAACAGTTAGCCAGTCTGGTCATCCCTTCATCCGTCATTTTCATTTGTGGATTATATGCCGGTATTAAGGAAACCTAGGCTTCCTATCTATTCGCAAAAGTAAGTCTATTGGGCTATGTTAGTATTGGTCACAGATCTTCGTTATCCCGATTCTTGCGTTGTTCCGGTTGACCTGATTATGGTGTCTACTGCCAACTATTAGTAATGGCAGCACCATTGAAATATCTTCCATTCGAAACTTTCATCGATTCTGCCTTCTGGCACGTTTTGGCAAAAAAGAAGCTCAACAACTATCGTCTGTCTGAGGGCCCATTCCCTCTCAGCGCCTCATATAGCAGTTGTTCTGCTGTAGCTGGACACCCCAGGATCTACGTCGGCGCCTCGGCCTTCATGGATTTAGGTTCTGAGAAATTCTATTCTCCGACATTCGGTCTTCGTGGGCAGTTAACCGCTTTCAATAGTGTTGATGATTTCAGATCATTAGACAAGCAAAAGTTCATTAACACCTTCGGAGAATCGGTTTTTAGAAGTGCCATTGAAAACTTAGAGTTTATAAGAAACCCTGAAAAGCTGTTAACTTTTCAGTTGATCACATTCTGTGATTTAAAGCGTTTCAAGTTTTACTTCTGGTTCTCATACCCTGCGCTGATGCATGCCTCTCAACCATTGCTGCTGAGTTCAAAATCTTTGGTGGAAGAGTTTTCGAGTGGCGAGATCAGTAGTCTGCTGGCATCTTATGATGCATGGAGGAAGACCAGTGATAGTGCTTTCTTTATCGTTCGCCCTACCATGATTAGTAGCGATGGACGTAACCTTGTCGTCAGTTCTTTTGGTACCTTGGACTTAGACGATCCGCAAATGTATTTGGGTTTTTGTGATCCTTCGTCTAACTTTTGCACCCCTGGATGGCCACTTCGCAACGTATTATTCGCTTTGTCGGCTACGCTGGTCAAAAAGACGCAGTTCCTTCGGATTCTATGTTTCCGTGAGCAGTTTGTTGAAGGTCAACGAATGTGCACCAATAGCGTGGTTCTCGAGGTTGAGCTGAGCCCCTTAGACCCAAGTTCAGCTACCCAGTATGTTGGATGGGAGAAATATAAAAACCGTTTAATGCCTCGAACTGTAGATTTAAGCGGCGCAATGGACCCTGTCAAGCTGTCGGAATCAGCAGTGGATTTAAATTTAAAGCTCATGAAATGGAGGTTACTTCCTGATTTGAACCTAGATGCCATTCGTAACTCCAGATGCCTTCTAATCGGCGCGGGAACCCTTGGCTGTAATGTTGCCCGTCAGCTCCTGGCTTGGGGTGTTCGTACCATAACTTTTGTTGATGACTCTCACGTATCGTTGTCCAACCCGGTCCGCCAATCTCTGTTTACTTTCAAAGATGCTTTGAATGAAGGAAGACTTAAGAGCGAAGCAGCTGCTGAGGCTCTTTCTGCGATATTCCCCGGCGCAACCGCCCAAGGATTTCAGATCAACATACCTATGCCAGGACATCCAGTAATTGATTCTTCAGAGGTCCTCTTCGCCAACCTACGGTTACCTCTGAACCAAGATGTAGATTGCACGCATCTGTCGCGTCAGGTTCGGGAGGCATATTTAGCTTGCAGAACTTTGAACGAATTGATCTCTCAAAATGACGTCACTTTTCTCTTGACTGATACAAGGGAATCACGCTGGTTGCCCACTCTTTTAGGTAAATTGCATGGAAAGATTGTTATTAATGCAGCCTTGGGTTTTGATACTTATCTTGTCATGCGCCACGGACTTGGCTCATATCAACAACCTAACGAATTGGTTTCTCCAACAAGTGATCATACAGAGCTCAAAGGTAACGGCGAGTTTTGTCTGGGCGGCCGCCACCGAGAAGTTTCCGGAAATGATCTGGGCTGTTACTTTTGTAACGACGTCGTTGGTCCTACTAATTCCGTACAAAACCGAAGTCTGGATCAACAGTGCACAGTGACCCGCCCGGGAGTGTCAATGATAGCTGCCGCTATTGCTGTTGAATTGTTTATCAGCCTCACCCAACATCCAGATGGAGGGCGTGCATCTGCTTCTCACTTAGTCGATCAGCCTGAATATTCTACTGCCACCAGTACTTTCAGTTTGGTACCACATCAAATTCGTGGTTTTATTTCATCATATTCTCATATTCTTCCGGCCACTTTAGCATTCAAACACTGCCCAGCTTGCTCTGACACGGTTCTGAGAGCTTTTGACAATGATGGTTTTGCTTTTCTTTTACGTGTTTTTAACGATGCGGAGTATCTGGAGTTGGTATGTGGCCTGAGAGCTCTCCACTGTGCAACCAATGAGGACCAGGTTATTGCACTAAGTGATACGGATGATCTTCTTGGCTAGAATGCAGCGGTTTCTACGGAATATAGTTTTGCGTGTGAATGCTTGCCGCACAAATTTGATTGACTTTTGTGACTTAATCTTTTTATGGTTGTTTTTCCGCAGCATGTTCGTTTCACCTCACTGTTATGAATGTCACGTAGGTTTTTCCCCAGCCTTTATGATTTTTACTTTCTTTCTACTCACAATCTGAAATGTACACTCCAGTTTTTCTGCTTACTCTTTGCTAACTTGATCGGATGGCAAAATCATTGTTTTCCACACACTCCTTTCTTTCATATGAGCATGCTGTCTGGCTTTTTCGACAGCATTCGTTTTAGGCTCGTCTCGTCTAAGTGCATTTTAGGCGTTCTCTTCGGACCCCCACTGGGTCAACGGGCTCCTCATCCTTCTTGAACATACCTTCGCCACCGTAATGCGTAGAACTAAACTGACGAGTATGAAGTGAATTTTGTTTGCATAGAAAACCCGTTTTCTCTAACTGTGAGGACCTCTGCGATCGTTTTTTACATGTCGCGTTCTTACTTTTGTGCATGGTAGCTGTCGGTTAACTCACCGGCTAGTTGACCGCGATCCTCACCCGCCTCAATACTGAGGTACAGAAATATTTCAGGCTGGAAGTGATTTCATATGATTGTTCGCCGGTTGTAGACACAGGGAAATGGTTCAGTTCAGTTAGTTCAGTTGATCAACTATGATCCGAGCACCGGAGTGCGGTTGCCACTACTCACCAACTCCGATAGGGTAGTGGGGTTGGGTGCAAATAGAATGTAAAGAACATGAAAGCAAGAAGGAAGGGCGTTCGACTATTCAGGATGGGAAGAAAATTAACAACCTGATGAAAGAATCCGGATGCAGGAACGCCGCTGACTTCGTGCCTGCGCCGTGCCTGACGTCAGACATGTGTACACGGTCTCCAACCATTGGCGTCGATCGTCCCGAGGTCCCCATCCAGGAAGACGGCACGCACAACGCTGACTAAGTCCCTTAATCAATTTCTTCAATATATATATATATATATATATATATATATATATATATATATATGGCGGCATCCTGTTTCGGGTCTGTCACTGTGGCCACCCACAGGACGCCTGCACCTACAGAGGGACCATACGTTGCTTGCGCTGCACCCCCCACAGCTACCACCACATCCTATATCCAGTGTAAAGCAGAAGGAATAAGACCGGGAGGCATGTGGATGGGAGCCACGTTCCATCAACGGAGCCGGCCCACACTCCTTCACAGGGAAACACAAGCACGCTGTATTTTTGTTCGTCGCAGTCGGCCGACAATTCAGATAAGTCAACTACCTATCCGGAAAAGCACCAGACGGCCGTTTCGCCGTCTGGTGCAACTAACTGATGCAACTGAGCCATGGAGGACGGCAGCCGACCATCACGAATTGTTAGCTAACTGCGATATAGCCCGACCCATCCTCCACTGCGTAAGCAGCGGGCTAGTTGGCACGAGCCACTAGCAGTCATGGGTTCGATCCTCCGTAGAGGACCGAAGGATGCGCACCACTGACGAGACCCAATAGGGCGAAACGGCCGTCTGGTGCTTTTCCGGATAGGTAGTTGACTTATCTGAATTGTCGGCTAACTGCGACGAACAAAAATACTCGCCAAAATCCTTCTACGCATGAGTAACAAGCACGCTGTATTTGGCGATTCAAACGCACACAAGGCGGTGGCTGGACCGTAGTCCGCTCCACACTGGGTGCATGGAACCACTCTTCGATCCTAGCACGACCACAAGGGCTGTGCACCCCGTCCCGCCCAGCAACAATCAACTGTCCCCTGGAGCAAGTATGGACGAGGTATTGGGTAATAGACAGGTAGGCACCTGGGGATATCAACCAACAGCCAATCCATGGGACGACGATATCCAATAAGTAAATCAAATAATGCATACAGATATTGCGACATAACTCTTCACTAAATGAGCACATGAAATATATTGGTTGCCAAAAATCGGCGAAAGGTTCAGGACGTCAGAAAAAATCTCTTAGTAATATGCCAAGAACGCGAAAATGTTATCGAACTTAACTACAACTAGCTTAAGTAACGTGCGTAAGTTAATGGGATAGTTCAAGTTGATATTAATATGAGATAAAAAAGTAGGACAATATGGCAAACTCACCGCCTGAAATAAAGAGATCCAGTATGCAAGCAAGCGGTTAGCAAACCGAGTACATTGTACCTACCAACGCTGCGCCGGTTCTGCCTACGTTCTCGGCAGGACACGTTGTCGTTTCTGTGGTGGCCCAGAGTGGCCTCGCTCATAGCTCACTAAGCCTGCCTGACTTAGGCACTCGCGACCGCATGTGCTACGGCACCATGCGCTCAATGTCGATGGTGTACAACCCATCGGCGCCTGCCGCTTCCGCACTTGCCGCTTCTCCGCATGCATGAGGGCTTTCTCTTGTACTTAGGCAACTGCCTTCGTGATTAGATCGCGCCATGTACGCCGATCAACCGCCTTCGATTCCCATGACCTGCAATCAAGATCAGAACGTGATAGGCTCACTTTGGTAACGAAACTTCGGTTTACCCGCATGCCGCTTCCAAACACAGCTGACCATGTAATAGTTACTTCGATATCCACGTCGAATCCATACGCCACACATGAGCGAGCCACCTTAGGTATCTCAGCAAAAGTATGCAATTCACTGCATACATTCCACTTCGGCGCATTATCTTCGTGTCTGCAACTCTGTCGCACCAACCGAT